ATATATATATATTATATACACACACAGGCAGAGTAGCAAAGCATCTCCGATCGCACTCCTGATGGAGGTGATGGGCTTGCTTGAGGCTCTGCTTACGACTGCAACTTGCGCAAAGACATTCAAGCACACCGAAATTCACAGGACTCCACGCGAGAAGCAAAGCCTGGCTCTTTTTCACGGGATGCATGTCGCCTGGTCGTAGGTCGTGGCATGGTGGAAACTCTGCTTCAGCGGATCTGGGGCTGTCTTGATGGGTAAAGGGCTTAGGGTTTAGGGACTCGCAGGGTCTGAGTCAAGAGCCTTTGCTAATGTACCACTCGCCGGCACAATCCAAAGGACCGGACTCCTCACACCTGCATGGTGCAAATCTCGCCTTCAGGGCTTGGGGCATGCCAGATTCGTGCCACAAAACGTGCTTACGCCCCTCTTGTGTCTGCAAATCCATCTCGACTGCGTCGAAAAATGGTAGCAACGAATTCAGGACTGACTTCCCACTAAACATGTCGTTGCCTGGCCAAGGATGAAACGAACCACAGCTGCTGCTCTGCCTACAATACCAGTTTACCCACTGAAGATGCACAGTGTTGAATATCTCATTCCCATCGCACCACCCCTTCGCGATGTCAGAAGTTAGGCTGTAGGAGTGCAGTCGGATGCATTCGGGTGTCCGCAGGCCTGTGTTAAGTTCCACGACGTCTGAAAGGACATCGCTGGCGATCTGGCGTGCTTTCGCCGATTTATTCTCCAGGTTCCTGCGGGAGCGCGTAGTTTCGACCCCCACACGCAGCACTTGACGATGTTCAAGCACCACACTGCTTTAGCAAAGAGGCCTCAACAGCAGTCTTCCAGTTTTCAACCTCGGTCACGCAAGTGCACGTCAACGGAACCAGCGCGAACCGTCTGCGTACGTTTCCTTGCGCAAAGTCTCATGTGGCGATTGTTCTTGCAAAACTCCCTTCCGGTTGCTCTCATCTGCGTTCCTATTTTAGCAACCCTCCCACTTCGTGGTCATGCAGCTGCTGGATCTTCGTGGCTCTTGAACCATGCCAAGTGACGAGACGAAGTCTTCGACGACTTTCTTCACCTTAGCATGAAGGAAGGCCAATGGACCCACTGAACTCAAACAAGCACACCTGTCCGATTCCGGCAGCCGAGCACAAACAGAATTTTGGCCCCTCGGCTCACTTTGCCTGATGGCATAATCAAAAGATGCCCAGCCCGGAAAGTCGCTGTGTCCAGTGGCAACGGAAGTTACAAAATGGAGTTCTGCGATCAAAACAAAACAGCAGAGGCCGTGACTTTGATCCAGACGCCAAAATCTAAGACTCCCCACCCAAGTCTCCAAGCTGCCACCGACTACTATTTCTATATAAATCTGTTCCCTATTCACAACGCGGCTCTGCAACCAAAGTTCGCCCAAGACAGGAATGGCACTATCCACAAATGAAAGATCCAGGAAACACGCCATTTCCCTACTTCACCCCGAATATCGCAGGATTTTATCAATTATGAGTGCAGGCGCCCGCTGCCCGAATGTCGTGGGATTTACAAGCATCACCGAGTAAGGTATTTGAATCCCATGAAGGAACCCTTCGCGTCGCCTTTAACGGCCCGATCTCTTATGGATCCCTTTACAGGGGCACCTGAGGGAGCCTTGAAGGGGTCCTTTGAGGGTACTAGCGAGGGTAATATTTCGAGTTCCTGTACGGGTACTACAAAGGGTTGAAGGTATACAAAGGCCACAAGAAGGCTCCTTTGAGGGTACCACAAAGGGTACTATGAGTGTTCGTGCCACAAAGGGTACCACTAAGGGTTCCTTTCGTGGGGCTACAGAGAGTACTATTTAGGGTTCCTGTAAGGGTTCCTTTAAGGGTACCCCAAAGGGTACTCTAAGGTATCCTAAGGGTACTCTAATGCTTAAGGGCTCCTTTAAAGGAGCCCTCACGGGTCCAAGCCCAAGCCGCCAGCTCTCGGCGGCCGGCTTCGGAGGCGGCCGCTGCCCAAGCGGGCCCGGAGAGGAGCCTTGGGGTTTCAAGTTTGGGGTCAGGGTATAAGGATGCATATATATATATATAT